TAGTAGGGACATGAAGGTTTTATAATGAATGTGGGTTGATTAAACCCTAATTGTCAATAAATTCCAATCACTAACAATTATGAATATGAAACACCAAATTAATTAGATTTGGCTTAGTTTAATATTTTTGGAACAAAAATTGCATGTTTTAAAGCTTATTTTCTTTTTCTTTTTTTCAAATAAATTAATCACCTCGTGGATGGCTTGACTCGTGATGCCCATGAGCAAAACGATCGAACTGAGCCTAGAATTTGGTCGTGAGACGAGTTCGATTCATTCCTAGAGTGAGTTGAGTTGAGCTCGAGTGTTTACGGGTCGAATTGACTCGGATCGGTCCATTGTCACCCCTAGAAAGATGTGGTGGCGTGACTAGTGTTATTAAGAGGGGAATATTATGGATTTGGTGGATTTTTTATATTGTTTGGAATGGTGGGATAAAATAGGGAATTAATATTAGGCTTAACTCAAAATAGGGTAAATCTATTCAAATGTTTAATTAAAATGGGTAATTGCCATTAAAATTAAAGATAGAAAATATCTCATATTTTACGACGAAAGGAGGTACTTTGTTTAATTCTCAAAGCTTCATCTTGTTTTATTGTACTCGCTAATTATACGTGATTCTTTTTTAATATTGACTTTCACAATTAACGTGTTCATCTCGATTTAAAAATTGGTGCGTATTAGAGTCCCGTTATATCTGTCTTACATCTCACATTTCGATAAAAGTTCCAAATTATAGGAATTTTATCCAAATACTTTTTTCAATGGAATCTCTAAGTCATAGTTCTTTTTGTCGATACTAACTAGTCAAACTAATACATTTACGGAAGAAAAATTCAGTCGCTAAATAAAATAGTAAAATACCCTTGGTAGACGGCAAAATAGCAAGTAAAAATAGAGTTTTCCGTGTATTTTTTTTCTCTTTAATGGACAATTTCCAAAGAAAACAAAGTCAAGCGAACACCAAAAGATCCAAAATTTCAACATTTTTCAGGTGAAAAATTATACAAATCAAACACAATTAATTGACAATTTTCAGTAAAATGACTTCTAGGCAATTCAATGAATGAATTTTACTTAGCCAACGTTCCAAAAGTGAAAATCATAGTCGGTATAGACAAGAAACGTTGTAAGATTACTATATTAGGTAGTGAGAAATATATTAGAAAAAAATCATGAAACCAGAAACGTGTACGGAAGTAACAACTTAGACGTTTTCTTTGGAAAGTAGATTATACTTTTAATTAAGAATTAAAATATTTTGGAAATAAAGTGGATTTGTGGTGTCAAAACCTTGCTTTAATCAAAGCAATTTACACAAGTTTGTTAGCTTCACAAACGGATATTGGGGTGGCAATTATTGATTTTTGTAGAGGTCAATTTTGTTTTATAATCAATATCCTTGTCAATATTTATTTATTTATTTTAACAAATGCTATACAATATTAAAATTATTTTACTTGCAAAATGAAACTTGGATAGTATTTCGTTTTTGTTCTATTTGAATATGTCCCAATCAATCACATTCCTCCTCTTTTGGTGTTTTTGAAACAAGTTTGGTAGCCATCATCGCAAAATCTGGTCAAACCCCAACCAATTGCTTATTCGACACGGATTAGTTCCGTATAATTCAAGTTTGATTTGATTTATAAAGTCGACTTTATACATATTTAGGAAATCTTTTGACGGTATCACCCCTACCGTAAACACATACTAATAAAAAAGAGTAATGCTACATAATTCAACTGGAGTTGAACCCTATTTTAGATGACGTTGGATGATAAACTAAATGAAATGTGGAATCAAACGAGTCATTTAATTTCACTTATCATTTAATACAACATTAATGTCATCTAAACTGAGGTTGCAAATCCTAAATAACATTACTCAATCAAAAAAGACTAAAAATGCGATAAATAAGCTGAAGTAAGCAGATTATTATATAACAAGCTTTTAATTTCAATTAGTTTTCTATTTTACCATTGCAAAATATCATTTCCTTTTGGAAAATTTACTTCTTCTGTTGACTTCCTTTTCTAGCTCTTCAATTCCTCCTATTCCTTCAACTTCCTGCACCAACACGACCAAATATTAAAATTCACAAAAATAATCTTAAAAATAGAGCTGAGTGCGGGGCCTACCTGAGGTCCTAGGAACAACCCATATGGGACTCCATTGAACTTGTCCGAGTGATGGAGCTAAATCAGGTCAGTTAGAAAAACAATTATTAAAAAAATGGTTGAAAAATCATGGTTTCATAAAATATATGATTAAAATTAGTTATTGACTTTGACTTTGACTTAGATTTAAATTTTAATTTTAATTTCTATCAAATAGGGGTAATACTTGATGAGCTGCAGCGACTCTTCTGAAATATGGCACATTGGCGATGGGGCCCACTGGAAATCGCCTGTGAACTAGACCATCGTGAACAAACATATAAGCAATGCCAAATACTGTAATCCCAAGACCCTGTAACCAAATCAAAGAAGTGGAGTGATTTAGTGATGTTATTGAGCACCATTGGTGTCAGTACCAGTTTAGATGGCAACTGCATGACATTAAATGATAATTTCACTTAGATGCAACATTACATGATTCATTTTAATTGAACAAATCAAGTGTGGTCACTTATACTAGTGTTCTAGCACCATTGATGATAAATAACATTATTCGAATTGATTAGTGCATTTAGAAAGTAATTGACACGTTGAATTGAATAAAATTAGAAACACCCACAAGATCAAATTCACTTACAGCACCAAAACATAGACCAGGAATGAGGCCTTTGTGGAAGAAACCATAGGTGAAAAGGGCTATTGCCGGAATAGCATTGATCATTGCAAAGACGTCGTTAAGCTCGAAGGGGCCTTCTCTTGGTCTATGGTGTGACTGCAATCAAAAATCAAAATTAATAATTCGATGTTGACTTTTATGTTCCTTTATTGACCTAATTTGAGTTGAATCGAGCTTCTCAAATGTTAAAAATTGTTTGAAATTATGAAACTACTTTTAAACATGTTTGAATAATTTTTTGGAAGCGTTTTGTCTAACTACAAGGGTGCGTTTGATTGACATGAAAAATATCTCATTGAAAAGAAAATATTTTTCTTATGTCGAGGAAAACAAAATCATACGCTATCAAAGAAAATGTTTTCCTCAAAAATAAAGAAAATTAAATTCAGGAAAAAAAAAATTGGCAATCAAATGAAACACTATAAAAGTTGAAATTTGGGTAAAAAAGTCATTTTCCAATCAAACACACTAAATTTTTTTAAAGGAAATTGACTTATAAAGGTAAGTTTTTCATGAACCTATTCTTTAGAATGCAAGAATTCTGCTAAACAAATCCTAAATAGGTTATTACCGAAAAAAAAAAAAAAGATTGCTTTTTGATTCAAATCAATAAATTATTACAAGTACTATTCCTTGACTCTTGTCTGAATTATTTTAATTTAGGTAAATTTAAGTCAACATAAAAAATAAAAAAAATAAAAACCTCGTGCACGTGCCACATTGAAGCGTGCCATAGAGCTCTATGTGCCCATCTTGCCCAAAACTCCATTCCCACCTGAACACAAATTTCATCATGCGTGTCCAAATAATTAAATTTGCTTAAATTTTCATAGAAAATGAAAATGGGGAACGATGACTTACAGCAGCGCCAATGGAAAGACCAAATGTTCCAAACATCTCTGCGTAATGAATTTCTCCACCCTACAGAACACCATAATTTCATAATCATTAAACAAGCATGTACGAGAATTGAACCTCAAAATTCTTACCTCCACTTGCCAAGAAAATCTATAATAAACAGACAAGACAGCCATCGAAGTAAATCCAAAACTGGACATAACAGCTGCAGCAAGGTATGTGAGCCTCTCAGATTTCTTCCTCGCTGATTTCTCCGCGAGGCGGGCGGCGGAGATTCCTACGTCTCCACTACTATTTGATTTCTGATCCTCCATCACAAGAAAAACAGTCTGGCGAGGCTTAGGCTTCGTTTTATATTGTAAAATCTTAGAGAATTTTTGAATGGAGGGAGGGAACAGTGAAGTGGGAGTGATTATGGACGTGAGTTTGCTGCGGAGAAATGGGCTGTGCTTGTGTTGGAAGGTGGTGGAACTGGTGGAGACAGAAATCCCGATCGCCATGGTGGTGATTTCGGGGCGGAGTTTTCTCGGAGGAGGCTGAATTGAGGGACTTGAAAGGTGATCGTGCTGGAACAAATTCAATGGTGCAGATATTTAAGAATTGGCAGTTTTTTTCCACGTTGTGTGATGTGGAGCACAGTTTTGTCCTTAATTTTAACAACATTTAAAATAATTAATGATCTCGATTTTTACACCCGCATCAACCACGATATATACAAAGTGTTAGAAAAGTATTTCAAGTACTTAGATATCGATTTTACACACTGAATACCGAATTTACACACTAAATACTGAATTTACAACTTAGATACCGTATATGCAGAATGGATACAGAATTTACAGTTTGATACTGGATTTGCAGTTTGAATACCGTATATGCAGAGGCATAAATACCGTATTTGCACACACCACTTTACGTATTATAACAGATTAAATTATATTTATAACAAATCCAATGATTTGTTAATTATAGTAAGAAATAATAAGCAAAAAAAAAATGAAGAAACAGTAATAAATTTTTAACCAGAGGCCTGTGTTACACACAGTTTCCTTGAAACAGATTCGCCTCCTCACCGTACATGCTTGAGGTATAATTTAAGCGTCTGCTTCCCAAGATACAACCGCAGAACAGTAGAATCTGAGTACCACAAATTTTACTCCGGGGAACTGAATTAGTGCCCGAACAATATCACCACAAAGATTGAAATATAAACTTAAAATGAAGACAAACTCGAACTGTATGCAGATGAATTTTTAGATGAAATTCATGATTTGAAAACTGAAAAAAACCGAGATATAGAAATACTTGGATCTTGTAACTTGTCATTCACATCATGGCAATTACCACATGAGTTTAAGGAGTTTCAACGTTTCAGAAAATGAAAAGTCGGTTGAAAAATAAAAATGTAGTCAAATGTGGACACTCCTAAGGGACCAATTTTGTTCCTTTCGATTCGACATTCGTGTACGCAAGTCGCGCCCGCACACAAGTTCAATGTCCGAAACCTATTTCGATCCATGATTTGCACCCCCTGCATGAGCACATGGAGAGAGCTCTATGCTACACATGATTACACCATTCTAAAGTGCAATACTTTATATAGTGGTTTTAGTTTTCATATACTTTCTATGTGAGACAAACATATTTTTTTAGTTTCCCACCAACATAAACTTGTTTTAAGTGGCACACTTTGAACTTTAATTTCTCCTTCA